AAGTTGCATACTGGACCAGGCTTGACATCCAAATATTTAAAGCCCTTCACTTTACTGTTTTGGTTTGGTTTCACGGCTGATCAACCTTATTCCAGCCGGCAGGCAGCTGTTTCCAGGTAAAAAGGCCACTGTACGGTACCTGCTCAGCACCAAACAGCAGATAGATAATGTTAGTGACTAGTTGGTGAAACCTTTTTTATCTATGTGAACCAAAAACACAGCTAAAAATGAGTGAATATTGGACTTAGAGTCTGTGTTGCAGTCTGTGTTGTGTCCATAGCTTGTCTCTGCTGTTTTCAAGTGGACAAAAAACAGATTATTGTAAATTTTTGGGGTGGTATAAAATGACATGTATTTTAACATTTACCTAATTTACAGATTAAATGTTACGTGTTATCACAGCTCAGATGTTCTCATACCCTTAACCTTTACCTAATGAACCCCATTTATGGCTGAAATTTAGTTCTGTCTATGTAGAAAAGAAATGGGGATGACACTGCAGTGTGTTCATGTGCCACCTGATGATTGTCTGCCTGACATTACAGACCTGTATGTTCCAAATTTGAACTGTATTTAATTTCTTTTACCAGCCTGCATTTCATGGTAGGAACAATGTATGTACATTGACTCTCACTGTCTGACTGAAAGCAGCATTTGAGAACACATTTTTGCAAGTTCCAAACGAGACTTGATACGCTTGATACATTCCTCGTAGGTGTAAAAACCTACTTGGCAATAAACAATTCTGATTCTGATTCTGATTCTGAAGAGTTAAAAGAAACAGAACAGAGTCGTCAGTTATTGCCTGAAGACACAACTTTATTAATAAACCAGCAAGCAAAGCATGTAAAATACAACGCAAGATGCCCAGGAAACAGAGACAGGCATGTATAAAAACCCAAACAAACTATTGAAGTGGAGATGGGCAGCGGAAGCCTTGCCAACGGCTGTAAACAGAGTGACACAGAGAAGAAAGAACAATGAAAAGAAAGAATTTGCAGCCGTAAAAGAGGCGGCTTTGACGAGTGTGTGCTGAGGTTGTCGTTTACATCCACACAATAAAGACATTCACAAGTGTCTGGTAGAGCGCAGGGACTGGTCTGCTGGACTGGAAACTACTGTGGCAACACAGGAAGAGGAGGAGGTGCTGGACTGGTTGTACGTGATGCCTTGGGTTAATAGTCTGACTCCAGATACACTACAGTGAGTAGCAGAATACAGTTAATGCTGGTTATGGGTTAATACTCTGCTCTCTCCTCTCCTGCAGCCAAAACCTGACATTTCTGAGAAGACAGAGAGAAAGAGAGAGAAAGCTCCACAGATCCCAAGAGCCCCTTTTACACATACACACTTGCATCTGGGGACTGCCCATTGTTCCAACGGTCCATTATTCCGAAACCCCAACAGTCCGAAAAATGTCCCATTGGACCGAAAGCCCATTTGCCCAAAAGCCCCTTATTCACCAAGCCTACTGCCAAAGGCCAGTTTCTGTTTTTGTTTTTCTTTGTAAATTTTTTTCTTTATTGTCTTTAATTGATAGTGACAGCTGAAGAGTGACATGAAAGGGGGAAGAAAGAGAGGGGATGACACGCAGCAAAGGTCCACAGGTCGGAATCAAAACCGCTATAGTAAGGACTTGGTACATGGAGCGAAGGCCCGTTTTTGAGAAAATACACACTGTATATGGAGGTTTTTGCCCTTAATATCTTAGTCTATTTGGACATGCAGGAAAGGATGAAGTCATTATGGTAACAATGGTAACATGATAAACATGGTTACCTTGTTAGGTTTAGGAAAAGATCATGATTTGGGTTAATATAAGTGTGTTAGTTACGTCAGTGAAGTTACGTAGGTAAGTTGGTGATACCAGAGTGTGCATTTTCTGAATAACAAACAGGCTTTCAGTCCAATGAGACATTTTTCAGACTGTCGGGGTTTCAGAATAATGAGCTGTCGGAACAATGGAGATAATGTGTTCAAAAACTGAAATTAACGTGTTGACAGATGGCTACAGCATTATTACCTAATCTTGTAGATTAAATACTTTATTTAAATGTATATTATGCTCACAGTGGGGTCAGTAGGGGCCCAATTTATTTAGCCATCGTTTGGCTGAAATCTAATGGAGCTCTGTGTTGTTGATGTAAGTCCTGTATGTTAGATACAGAGAAATGTCATGTACTTTTTAAATACCATGGTATCCTGTTTATGTTGCCTTGAGGTTTTAGTCTTTGCATACGCTTTTAGCTTTCCACCTCTCCTGCACAGGCTCTTGTTTACCTTTCATTCACATATATAATATATATATAAGTGTCTCTGTATAATGTATATGTATCTGAATGTCTTTGTCTTTGTCTCATATCTTTTATAATTTTTGCATTTGCATATTGTCTTGACCTTCAATGTTTGTCTACATGAAACCACCTAATACAGTATCAGCTACTGTGTTTGGCACAGCTGCATCTGCAACCGAGCAGCAGCTGCTCATTTTAACCACCGGAGGGGGTATATATTTTATGATATATGGTAAATACAGTGCAGCAGATTGTGTCTCAAATGCTGACCACTATGTTTGTACAAAATATCAGTTAAAAGAGAGAGTGTGCTGCTCCTTAAAGCCATCATTTGTAGAATTTGTACATAATTATAGCATTTTTTCTGATGGCATAAGCTGATATGATACTACCACTGAGCAGGATAAAGTTACACATTATTCAACTCTACACATAGTGCATTTAAAGATCAATGACGAATCCTTGAAGTTGATGTCTGATGCAAGTCGGTCTAAGCATTCTGATGGTGTCACTGAGCACTGACAAGATATAACTCTCTGTGTCTCTCTCTCTCTGTCTCTCTTAAACACACACATCCGTATACACACGTAAAGCTCATACATAAGTGTCCGGTGACAATCGGTGATGGAGGCTGAAAAACCCTGCACCGCTTGGAGCAGAAAAAAACAAAAAAAGAACAATGATCATCTAACACAGCACTCGCTCAGCTGTGACACTGAGCTGCTTTGCCTCTTCCGCTTACCTTCCATGGGTCTACCTGGCTCGGAGCCATTGCTGCATCAAGACAACCGCTAATGCACTCAGTTTCAGGGTTAGACCGATATATGGGGATGACAGATTAAAGGGCAGATATTGGTGTTGTCTGTAAGAACTGTAATTCTCTTTGGGTAGTTAGTTCAGTTATAATGTAACCAGCAAATTTATAACAGGCATCCATTGACATTTTATAACTGTAAATATGTCCTATTCAGCCATTGTACCTAAGTTGTAATTTTAAAATTTTTTCACCTCCCAGGCAGTAATGTATTCCAGTTTTCCACACCAAACAGGTGTGTATGGCCTGTCCTACAGAGCTCCGAACAATAAAACTGTTTCATTAGCCTGGCCTTGTCTGGAGAGGTTTAGTGTCTCCTGATTGTGTAAATGTTTCTGAGGGGTTCATCTGACAACCAGAACCATCAGAGGGAATCACAGAGGCGGCTTACAGATATTTGTGGTTGATCAACACTGCACATCACAAGTCAAAGTGATGACTTGCATTTAAATAATACAAATAAATCAATTTAAAGGCTGAGTCACAAGAAAGATGTGGCCGCGTAGTAGTTCTGTTGGGTGCACCCTCTGATGACAAAATGTTGTTAATAAGGCCCTAGCAGACCCTCAAATACTCACAGTTGTGTAAAGGACAATTCCTGCTAACGTGCCCCTTTAATCAGCCCCAGTATGCTCGAATATCCCTTCTAAGTGGCCCAAGTGCTTATTCCTCTCTCTAGACAAAAACATTAGTGCAAAAAAATCCTCAAGATTTTCACCACTACTCACCAATCCAACAAGTGGTCTAAGACATACATATACATTACGTTTCCATGGCTACTTCCTCCAGCTTCTCCAAGTGGATCCCAATGCGTTCCCAGGCCAGATGGGACATATAATTCCTGCAGCATGTTCTGGGTCTGCCCCTGGGTCCACTCCCAGGTGGGCCATCCCTGAATTATGAATGGCGCACTGAAAGCTGAATGTCTGAGCTTCTCACACTGTCCCACTGGGCCAGTCCAGCCACCCTGCGAACCCCTCCTTGTCAGGGACAATAGCTTCAGTAGGATCCACAAGGGCAAACTGGACTGAGGGGGCGCCAGACTGACAATTCAAGAAACGTTCAAGCGCAGTATGCTTTAAACAAAGCGCTTGTTGAATCATTGAACAGTAATTCAACAATCACGCCCGCTTCAGGCGAAGTGTGCAGAGGTGGATTTGAACTTTTCTAAAGCTCTCCTTTTTAATCCTTTACACAACTACCTTTGTCACTTTTTGTGTGCAGCACAATGAATGCTTTTGAGGAGAAATTGTCCAAAAGTATACGGAGAGAGCAGCCTTTCCCAGAAGAGGGACAATCATCAACTGGCATGTTTTTTCCCCTGTCCAGACATATTGACATGTGATTTTCTGTGTATTTCAGCCACAAATATCGACACGTAGTTTGAATCCCTGTTATTAATACAGCCATAGTCTAGGATTTTAAATATAAATGTTGACCAATACTTACTACGTATCGGCCCCTAAAAATCCCATATCGGTCGAACCCTGGTTAGTATATACACATATACATACACAGCAGTGGGAACATACTGTGGAGGAAGGGGTTAAGGGAGGTTTGGTTTAACTATTGATTGAGAAATTTCAATAAACTCCTAATAAATCTGGATTAATTCTGATCAATCCACAAGAGTGGGATTTTTGATGACTCGAGACATTGAATTCTAGGAAGAGTCTTGTAGTGTAATCCCTCTGTCAGACTGTACCATTAAACGTCAGACTGATTGACTGAATGGAGATGTAGGAGCGTGGGTTTTGGCAGGAAGTGTGCACTTGTCGACTGTACTGAAGTGGATCAGTGGAATGGAGAGTGGTGAAGCAGTATGGGAGGAGGGCCCTCCTCACAGGCAGAAGTCAAAGGTCAGGTCGGACTTGCCCATCTTCTGTCTGTACACCGTGTCAAACTTTTCGTTCATAGAGACTGTGAAGACGTCCTTCCACAGACCCACACGACCTGCAGGTAGGATACACAGGAAGAGGGAAGATTTGTAGATATTAATAAAAAATTCAGGTACCTTTCAACACAACCATGAATGTCCGCCTCCTAAATTACTCAGTACAGCTCAAAGATGTGTCCTGTACCTGAAACTGTTCCTTAAGCAGATTCATTAAGCAAGGCTATATTACTAACTGGCAACTGTTCCAGGGCCCCAGAATTACAGTAGACCTAATCTAAGATTTACTGTGTGTCAATGCAAGGGAATCAATAGGGGCCAAGCAGCTCATTGTTGCCCTTCGGACCACTAAAAAATTAATCCGACTATGTACTTAAAGGTCCAGGGTTTAGGATTTAGTGGCACCTAGTGTTGAAGTTGCAGACTGCAACCAACTGAATACCACTTGCCATCCAAGCATGTAGCATAAAATACATTGGCTGCAAAAGGCCCTATTTCCAGCCAATGTTTGGTTTGTCCATTCTGGGCTACTGTAGAAACATGGCTGTTCAACGTAGCGGTCTTCGTAGAAGAGGACCAGATCCCTCTGTAGATAAAAACAGCTCATTCTATGGTAACAAAAACACAAGGAGTCTTATTTTCTGGTGATTATTCACTAATGAAAACATATCTATCAACATTATATTATATTTCTGACAATAGATCCTCCTAAATATTACACACTGGACCTTAAGTTTCACACTCACTTTTAAAAGATATCTGTATCAATTCATTTTAACCACACTCCCACGCTAAATGACTCATTATCAAAAATGAACCAATCACAAGCAACAAGTATTTTCATCCATGCTCTAAATGCGAAAACCAATGGCACTAGTGATGTCTGGCACTGATAACAAAACTAAAAGTGAAGATGGAAACATTGGCTTGAAAGGTTGTAACAGGAATGAAGAGAAGACAAAACATCTTTTGACAAAAGATATAACACTGGACTGGTTTATGACAATGCACAACAAGCCTGAAAGTTCATTCTTGACCTTTGAAGTAGTACTTTGAGAAAATAATCTTAAGTCAAGGTCCACTCACTAGCTTTTTCTTAAAGTCATCTGCAGACAGAGTTGTCTTATTGATTTTTTTTTTTTAATCAATTTATAAATTGATGATTGGTCAAATTCACTACACCATATTTTTTATCACAGTAGTAGTAAATCAGTGGTTCTTAACCTGTGGACTGGGGACACCCAGGGTCAAGGGGTCCTTGAGAGGGTTCCAGGGGGTTCCCAGGGTTTAATTTGCTAAAAGCTAGTTCAATGAGAGAATGTATAAAAATAACTGTTTTGTTTCACACTCTTTACTGTTATATCTGCCAATCTACAGTAACACAGTAGCACTTCCTGTGCAAAGTGTTACTCTGCCTGCTATGCTCAGATTCTGAAAAACATTTTTTCATCTCACAATAAATAAAACAGAGATTTTATGTTATATATATATATATATATATATATATATTCATTTTTTTTGCTTGGTTTTTCTCTTAACATTTGGAGGGCCAAATCGAACCTTATAGAGGGCCAACTTTGCCCCGCATGCCCCACTTTGGGCAGCCCTGGTATAGACAGTTATGGAATCTTATATCTGAGACTATATCTGTTCTGATCAAATACTGGTCCACAGCCTGATGTGGATCAATTTGGAGGTGCTTGACACCAAAAAGGTTGTGAACCACTGCTTTAAATAATTCTGTGATCTACTTCAATAAACCTTTTGGTAAAGGCCTTCAATTTAAAGTAAAACTAGTCTTTTCTTGTTTTCCATCTTGTCAACAGCATGTTCCTCGGTTCCTCATTTACAGGCAGAAATGAATTAATTAAATCCCATGCTTATTTTCTGTCCTCAAAATCCTATTTTAAAATCATAGCAGTTGGATTGAAGGCTTTTAGTTTTGCTTCAGTAGTGCGACAGTCTGTATATGGCCCTGCTCAGGAGTTATGACTTCTGCATGAATTCTCATGATTCATCTGACACATTCTGATGGATGTTGTTTTTCTGCACTGAAAACATCACATTTTATTTGACACGCTTCAGCTGCAGAGTGAATGCAGCCTGACGTGGCAGTGACTCACCTGCTGCGGTGTGTGTGTGACAGATCAGATTGATCAGACTGTCAGCTGTGTGTTAAGCCTATAGCAGACCAGACACCAGACTTCCATGCACTAAAAGAAAAATAATTGATGGGGAAACAGAAAAAGATACAGATAACCATAACAAATTAAAGCAGGAATGGCAACAGAAACCAACCGAATAATTATAACAAATCAAGGAATAAAATGTAAAAGATGTCTAGATGAAACTCAAAGAGGGTTAAATAAAAAGTAACTGGGGCTGCAGCTGGAAATCATACAGTCTATAGTTGAAATGCAATCTGTGGTGTAGATACAATATGTAGCCACACGATGGTGCCATAATCATGTCAAAGACACTCAGGTCCACGTGTATGTAGGCTGCAAAAATTTAGTCGGATACAATTACTAATTATTTGTTAATCAATAATCTTATTGCCTTATCAATAAGATTATGTGTATTGTATTAAAAAAAATGTGGCATATAAAATGTGTCCTCTTCTGCTTTAGTTAGCAAATTCAGGCAGCAGCCTACAGACCATTTTCACAGCTGGAAGGCAGAACCTGCACTGTGCTGTGATGTTGTTCCCTTTTCTGCTTTAAAGACAAAATAATGGTGACATTTCCACCCAGTGAAAGCACCAGAGTGCTGTTGTGAGACTCAATAAGTGTTGTGTGCATGGAAGTATACCATTCTTTTATTAAATATACGTTAAAATCGGAATCCTGCTAATAATCCCAATTTTTATTTATCATAGAAACTCTTATAGTATATTATTTTGAGTTTCAATTGTTTCACTTATATATTTTACACATTTTTCGTCATAAGATCAAGGTTAGGACGGTTACTTTAAAAATGTAATCTGATACAGTTACTAATTACCTGTTGAAAAATGAAGTCAATAACCTAACCTAAGTATCACATTATGAACTAATATAACTTGTTTACTTTCTGTTACTTTTGAATTACCTCAATACCAACTATGCAAATAAAGACAAGGGGAAATAAATATTAAGTATTGATGTAGGTATATTGTATAAGACAACAGAACAATGTGACCTTAGAAAAGAAAATGGGAACCAAGACTTTTAGCATCAAAAATGTGTCCTCTGCTAAAAATAATTACTACTAATAATAATCTGTTGTTTTTCTGTAACTGTAATGGATTACATTACAAATATTTTTTTATCCTGATTACGTAATTCAGTTACATGTGATCCGTTACTCCCCAAGCCTGCATAAGATTACAAATTTAATTTAATTTGATTATTTAAGTACGTATATTGATAAAATACAGTATCTGCTACATATTGAAATGGAGTCAGATGTATGTTAATGTTCCCTGACTATCACTGTCACAGAGCATGAGGTACTGTAAGCCAAGATCAGTGAAGGGTTAAACTGTAAAGGAAGTAATATAAAGCCTGTACTGTCCCGTGTTCCAGTGTTTGATGTGTAAACAGTGTCTCATATAGATTTGTCCTGTTTCCAAAACCGACTGCTCAGCTCATTTTGGGGTCCCTGGGGGTTAAAGTGCCAACAAAGTCAAACAATGTGTGTATGTGTGTGTTCCAGCCAGGCTAGGTGAAAGGAAAAAAATGTCTTGTGAAACTGGTGTGAGGACTCCTCTCTCCGCCTCTGTCCGTCTAATCCTGACCTAATTATAATCTCATTACAATGTACAGTACGATAGAGTGTGTGAGGCATCAGTGTATTTATATTGGACTATATCAGATAATGAGACCAGCTGTACATTATGTAACATGCAGTATCCTGTCCTACTTAAACCACTCACAACTCACCATAGACAAACTCATTAATCCCTACAGCCTTTTAGCAGAATAAAACCCACGTACAACAGCCCTATAGTCACTACCAGTTTGGTTGAGCTTAAAATGTTGTTTTTTATTGAGACTCTCTGAGGTGTTGATTGACCCTACTTTACATTATATTTCAGCCAAAGTTGGTGATAACCAACAATAACACCAGAGTGGTTTTGCGGTATCAGGAAAAAGAGCTAGTGATTTATCTGTCCTCTACCTCTTGGTCTTTTAATAGCGTTGTAAGAGGAGGCTAAGTCGATATCATGAGCTCACCGATATGATTCAGGCCTGATCTAATGGCTCTAAAAGAGGAACATTAACCACGTTTATGCTCTCACTCCTCTCAGCATCCTCCTCTTCTAACTGTACAGTTCTTTCTCTCAAATGTGTTCAAGACTTATATTCCATTTGGCATCACCACAGTGATGTCTCATACCAGAGTTGTATTTGTTGCACTTATTCGTGGAACTTTGAACTGAACTATGTCCTGGAAGCTTTGTGTTTTTCCTTGTGCTGTTTCTTGTTTGTCATATTTGCTTGACTATATTGGGTCTTGTCTTTTTGCCAAATGCAGACAGAGACTAAAGAATGTATTTTGTTTTGCTAAAATTCCCTATAAAAAAGAAAAAGATCTAAACTTTCTTTCCAGTCTGACAAATGTCACTTGAGTCAGTTCAAGTCTGGTAAATATATAACATATAATAATATGATATACTTTAGCTCTGAAAGGAGCCATTGTCCATTATGTGTACTTTAGATTGGGTTTGTGGAGACCTTACGAAATGCAGTTGCGATGTTTAACCCGTTGAAATAAATCTGATAAACACCAGACTATGCCAACATGCAAAATAGGATCATGGGATACCAACTCATAAACTAAAGGAACTCAGACAGAAGAGAACATGTTAGATGTAGTGAAAGTGTAACACAAATAGTCAAAAGTCACTACTCTACGGCCCTTTCCAAAAGCCCTTTCACCCAGACGTCTTACTGTAAGTTGGACTTCAGGGAGCCAGATACTCAAAACTCTGCATAGTTAGCAAGCCAGAGAGTCTGAGCAATGTTGTGTTTGTCTTCTCCCACTCACCCCTGCAGATGGACAACGCCTCAGAGTTGCCGCACTGCTCAATGAGCTGGTTGCAGCTCTCCACCATGCCCTCCAGCTGAACCTTGTCACAGGAAACACCCAGGAACCGGGCTAACTGTTCCACCAGCGTCCCCAGATCCTGGAGAGGAGAGGAAAGGAGAGGAGAGGAGAGGACGATATGTAAAGGGAGTTCTAAAAATGGGAAATTTATGAAAACAGTAATCACACAAATACAGAGAAAACTGCCTCCCTCTTGAACTCTTAAATAATGCCAAGGCAGTGATTCTGTTTCCCCAAACAGCATCCACCCACAGCTGCAGTGAACACACTGTTCTCTGTGCTTACACAATCTATGTGGCATAAAGGTGAGAAACACTGCCTGCAGACATATGACAGCTGTAAGAACAAAATGTACAGCTCTCTAGGAACACACTTTACAGCTCTGGGGTATATACACATGTTTGCATGTGGGTGTATGTGTCTGTGTGTGTTCAGTTAGAGATTACTGACCCAGTTAGCAGCTAGCTTTGAGCTAAATGCTAATGTCAGTATGCTAACATGCGCACAGTGACAAAGCTAGCATTCTGATGTTTAGCAGGTATAACGTTGACCTTCTTGGTTTAGCATATAAGGGTGCTAACATTTGCTAATTAGCAATAACATTAAGTACAGTTGAGGTTGATGGGAATTACTGTTTTTTTAAATAAATGAAACAATTAATAATTAATTTGCCTAAAAAGGCCTGCTAGTCACATTTCGTTAACTTTGGACAGAGCTAGGCTAGCTGTTTCCCCCTGTTTGCCAAGTTAAGTTATTTTCTCCTGATGTTAGCTTCTTATATTTAGTGTATAGTTTTAATAGTTTTTAGTCTTGATATTCTTATCTAACTCTAAAAATGTCAAGCTATTAATTTAAAGCAGAAATAATTAAACATTTGGGGGTCCCGGTACAAGCTGTAAAAACAACACTGACATGTTCTTAAAAAGTTGTCTGTGGCTAACCTGTTAGCAAACAGCCTACACATCCACCAGACACAAAGCAACATTAGCAATTATTTGGACCCATTTTTCTGGCCACCTGCTAATATTTTAGTCCAATCTTTCTTCTCCTTTTAGCTCTAGTTTAATCTCCACCTTGAGAAAAATATCAAGCTCTTTAGCTGCTCTTGCCATTTTAAAACAAAATGAGAGCATGAGACTGAGACAAATCATTAAAGAACCAGTGGCTAGGATTCAGTGGCATCTAGTAGTTAAGTTGCAGATTGCAACCATTTGAATATCGTTTGTCTTTGTAGGAGAAAATAAAGTGGCTCTATCTAGACCCGGTGTTTGTCCATTCTGAGCTACTTTAGAAACATGTCAGTTCAACATGGCGGACTCCATGCAGGGCAGATAAAAACGGCTCATTCTAAGTTAATGAAAAAAAACATTATTCTCAGGTGAGTATACACTAATGAAAACATACCTATTAATATATATTTTTTGCCAAAAACCCTTCTAAATGTTACACTCTGGAACTTCAGTGTTGCGGCCTGAATAACCAAAACATTCGTCACTACAACTCTTTTTTTCGAACACACAGAGAAATACAGCACCTCAGATGTTTCAAATGGCATAAACAGTGGATTGATTTTTTTATTCATACATAATTATCTATAAAATGTTGTCGTGTTTTTTAACAGCACCAAGTGAAATTACAAGACCAATTGCGTCTTTTCCCTTCAATGCTAAGACATATCTTCTAAGAACAGCCTATCCTGTGTGAGTCTGTGCCTCGTAAACATGATAAGATCAGATAATGTGAAAAGGGACCTTTGACGAAGCAAAGGGCAAATATTGATCTGGCATATTATGTTCTTTTTCTTTGAATAGAGAGTTTTACACAAGAATGTTCTGTACAAAAAGATAGATAGGATACATGTGTCTGCCACGTCATATGGAAAGAGGTATAGAGGATTAAACTGAAGTTTAAAATAGGTTACAGCTGTAGGAAAATGATGGGGAGGGGACCTCAATTAGTGAGGAAACAGACTTAATTTTGTAATTTCTATTTGTACAGTGAAAACTAAATACCTATTAAAAAAATACTTATTTAGGAAAACAAAACCAAGTTAGTGTCACTTAAACTTACTAGTAAAAGCTGTTTAATCAAGAATATTTTTAAAACAAAAAAATAGTTAGTGTTACTTAAACTTAAACAACAATTTTTTTGAGTTAAAACAATTACCACATTACAGTGTATAGTGTGAGATCTGGAAGGTTCCCACCAATGTCAAGGTGCTGATGAATTGTCCCTTCCCAATATGTTACCAATCTCAAATGATGAAGAATGATGATGAAGTCCACATAGTGCTACCACTGTAGATCTATGCTGAACTGCCAGGTTTGTGTGTTTTTGAGCAAAGAGTGGGCTATTTGATGAAGAGTAAGAGAGCAAGATATGGAGTTACCTGACCTGATCTGGCAACCCGCTGTACTACCAAGGTTTCTGGTTCCAACAAAGACCATTATGAATGCAATTTATTTCACTTCCCTACTGACAAAAAAAGCATGAAAGATATGGAGGAAAATCAGTATTGCTTCCTGTTGTTTTGTGTTGTAGTTGATCAATATATATTTTTTCAAAAACACATTCAAAAGAGAGACTGAAAAATGCAACGTTATACAAGTAACCTTAACTTCGTTAATCCACTCAATTATCAAGACCTGTCAAAATCATATTTAAGCCTTAGGCCTAAAATTCCTTTTTTTTAAGACCCTGAGGGCACCGCGTTTAGTTGGCTAGAAGCAAATGGAGTCTGAATGGTGATGAATGAATGGTGGTTTGAAGCACTTAGTATTAGTATTAGAAGGCTATCCCTCCCCCTCCTCTTCATGAGTGTATCAGGATATCATTGTATAAGCCATTATTTTATAGAGATATTATACTGTAGGGTATTAGACACAGCTTGTCTAACTAATGAGTTTCTTTGTGAATGTCAAGCATGACTTAATCAGGAGAGTCCTGTCAGCAGAAGCCTGAGACACACAGACTGGTGAGCTCTGATGTCACAGTGAATGTCTGTAAATTCATGAGCTGATTATAAATTAAATAAAGTTTGAATATAAGTTTAATTTTGAGGATTTTAGACTTGGGGAATCAGTAACTATCTTCTTTAAACGAACCTCTCATAACCTCTTGTTTGAATTTTTTATTAAAGTTAGCCATTTTATTTTCCCACTCCCACATGTTTCATATTATTATTATTATTATCATATTTCTCCAACGCTGTGCGACAAACAAAGGATGTTAAATGTGGGTTAAAATGTCACACCAGAGGGCTACACATACACAGTCACATTCATCTGTACAGAAGCTCCACTGGAAAGTTTTCTGGTTCACTGTACCTATCTGAACCAAAAGGTCCAACAGTCAGACAAGTCAGATCTGCAGACAAGGGCTAGCAGACAGAGAAAGCACAAGAGACAGTGACAGTGTTACCTTGTACATGTCTTCATATTTCAAGAAGAGGACATTAGAGTCCATACGATGTTCCCAAAATTCCTGAACATGTTCAAACCAGGAACCATATCCCACTGTTAGAGAGAGAGAGAGAGAGAGAGAGAGAGAGAGCGAGAGATGCACCTGGATTAAAACAGTACAGTTCACTGACTTGAAACCAGATGGAAGCCAGTCCTCCAGAACCTTCATACTTACGCTTGTCATTCATGAAGCGCCGGCAGAACTCCTGGAAGGTTCCCCGGTAGCTCATGGTCCTGAGAGAGCGATGGAACTGGTAGTAGGACACTACCAAGTCCTTAGGGTTACGAGCCATGTAGATCACCTAGAAGAGAACCACAACAGTGCTCACTGCAGTCAGGTACATAACTGGGACAGTCTCTTCCTCAGAGAGAACCTTATTTTTTCAAGGTGACGGGTATTGGTTATTTTATTGAGCTACAGCTTAAAAGAGGGAACTTCCTTCTTCCTCCAGAACATCAAAATTATTTTTTTAGCTGTAATTAGACCATAAGAAAGAAGTTGCTTCTCTGTTCTTGTTAATATAGATGTGGCATCTGAAATTCCTAGCACAATTAAGACAGGACCAGGTTTGATGTGGGTGTCAAGAATATCAGAAAACGTTTAAAAAATGTTTGTCCGCTATCTCTCTATCCTGGGAGAGAGAGAAAAGCTATGGAGAAGATTTGCCTCTGCTGTATTGCATTTATCGGGGAGACATCTGGAAACATCTTGTTGAGCTTTAATTTTGAAGAGTGGAGTCTGTGGATGACACAAAACTGAACAAGACAATGCCTAGAGTTGATGAAGCACACATTAATCTCGTTAAGGCTTATGTCTCAGGTCGTCAATTTGTTGTTGAAGTACTGCAGAGTAGCAATTTGGTTATTGGAGATGTTGACGTCATCTTTCAATGACCTTCTCTGGTCTTGACCCTTGAACTCTTGACCCTGCATTACCATCCCGTAAGCCTTTGCCCCTCATTTTGTGAAATAAATCATTGAACTGCACCAATCCCTGCCTCTGTCGTCTGCATTTGGGTCCATCCTCCGTTTCCCAGCAACTTCAATGTTCTGCCTGAACGAATGCTATGAATATTTTTGATCAAATTCCGGACACAATTTTGGCACAATAAGTGCTACTGTATGTATACTGTCCGGTCTCAGTGGACTGACCTTGGCCTCTCCGTTGTGCATGGCTGTGGGGAGGAATCGATAGGGAAGATGGCTTTTGATCAGACGAGGGGACGTCAGCTCCTGTGAAGGAAGTAATTATTTTATATATTATTATTATTATTATTTTATGTATATGTCTTATACAATGCAATGTTCTAGCCATACTGTCAATGCTTCCAGCTCACAATTCCAGCAGTCTGAGCTGTTCTGTATATGGTGTTTATATAATTATATAATTTGGCATTCAATTTATTTTCTCTAAAACAGGTTGAGTATTATGAGTCCATTTGGTCTGCCAAGAATGGAAGCCAAAACAATGTGTGAATATTGGTCATCATGGACATTCCTTTTTTGTTTCAACAAGTTTCAGAGGTTGAATGCAGTTTCCTGAAGAGTACAAGCAATAAGTGCATTCCCATCCACAATGAGTGGCTGACGTTGTGCAGAACCGCAGAAGACATTATACAACTGTTCTCAGAGTCCCCATTTTGAGTAATCTGACCTTTAAGTGTAGAAGAACATTACATCCTTACAAAGAGTTTACAGAAACGTGACCTGGGATAAAAGAACTGGAGGTTAACACTAGCTTTTCCGAAAACAACAGACCTTTTCTCGTGCATTTTAAAATCATCCATTGCAAGTAAATAACACAATGCAATGTACCCAAAAAAGCTGACATGAGTTAAACTTTTGCTGGGTTGCAATGCAACACTCTTCAGGAATTGGGTGGGTTAAGAGAGAGAGAATCATTAACTTTACAGACTTGCAGGTCTTCGACTATTCATTTAAACATGTCCAAAAACATGAATCCAGCAGTGGGACGTGATAAGCCTTTGAATCAAGCTTGCTGTTTAGTTGTTCTTATGTTCTCATATGGACATACAGTCCTTGTGATTGCAAGCAACACTAAACTTGTGATTGTGGTGTAAAATTTCGATAGCTAACAACAACATCTCATGTTTCACATCTAAACAAGGTGTTGGTTTTGTCGTAACGCTACTACAGCAAAAGGCATACACACTACAATGCAGAGTTGTTATTTTGCCAGCTGGCAAAAATCTTAATCTAAAAGCCTCCACAGGCCCAGAACTCCTGCAGTCTCCAAATGAGTCAGTGAAGGTCAACCTGATTTCAGCTACATTACCTGTATGATGTCCAGGCCAGGTTGGGGGTACTCCAAGACAGGCAACTGTTCATCAATGTTCATAAGGCCAATCTCATCTGGGTCTGCTCCCTGACTCACGAGATACACAACCTCCTGAAGTAGACTGGTGCCTACAAGGATCGAAGAGAGATCCAAAGGACGGGAATTTAGGATGGCACAAAGAGAACAAGAAAAGCAGTTGCCGTGTGCACAGAGGTTAACTGTTACAATGTTAGCGGAAAGTGAGTCTGTAAGCAAACCCTTGCTGGATCTTACAGCAGTAATTTTACTTATCTTAGTGTATATTAGATGGTCAGACAAGGACCAATCTCTAGGAGACTTATATCCTCTTTTAGCTCCTGTTTTTTTGTTTTTTCTGACCCACAAACTGGTATTATCAGCCTCATTTCCTAGAGCAGCAGCTTTTCTTTTTGCAGCAAAATAGCTCAGATAAACCCACTGTACACAAGCTGACCAGCACCACACAGCAGACAGAGAAAGTTAGCAACTGTAGGTGGTGAACATAGTGACCAAAAACAGAGCTAACAGAGTGTGAATATGTGGCTTACATTCATCAGGTGTGTTACTACATTGGTCATTATAAGATGGTGATATGTCAGATGTGTTTTCAGCTTGTTCTATGATCTGCAAGTGGCCCAAAATTTTTCTTTTTTTTAAAATGCTACTTTTAAATAGTACTCCTTTAACATTGTCAGACTCACAATAGACAGTTATAAAAACAGGTAAGTATCTAAATCAATACTGCAGACTCACAGATACCATCTTGTTTATTCCATTTTTATTCTTCTTAGTCAAAACCTTGAGTCTACATGGCCCACAATGCATCTTGATTGCCAGCAGTTCAAGATTCAGTTGTGTTTGTAGCCGCAAATGTATCCTTCACCAGCACAGATGAGGAGCAGCTACAGAGGTCTGGTAAGACTGGTAGATTTTTATTTATTTAAAAAATTGTAGTCTTCAGCCACTGACTCAAGTGACATCACTTGAGGACATATCAGACTTCACACAGCTCCCTCTGTGTGACCAGCTTTATATAACTTTTTTTATTCAACTTTTAACCAGTGCAGGTGTACAGTATGTGCCATGCTAAAGGGTAACTTGTCAGCACATGTTCAAGGTAGAGAAATGCATTCATGTTTATTTTTGCCACTTTTTCAGTCAGCCTGGTGATTCAGCCTTGCTGTCTTTCAATCCTAAATCAACAGTCACTTATCAAGTAAAACTACCAGTCACTGCCCACATTAAAGCAGAATCTTTGTCATCATAATACCGTTTTATCTGTTGCCATGCCAATGTTTCATGTGGCATCCATGTGACTCATTTTGGTCTGCAGGACATGCTCACATGTATTTTTTGGAAAGCAGGAGTCTAATAACACAACAAAATGAAGGCTCGAGGCTGCTATCAGATAACACCTTGTGAAACCTGAAGGACATTGCTTCATTAAGCAAAGAGTAAGGTAATGGCTTTTATCAGAGTACAATCAATTCAGCATTGCTGTTTTTTTAATAAGCTATGGGAGCTTGTCAGCTTTCTGCAGAAAAGGGTGATGGGAAAAAGACTGGCTGTTTTTTCTTAGAGGAAGAAGATGTGCATTTGCGTGGCCTCAGGCTGGTCACATGCTGGCTGTGACACTAAATAAATCATGCAGTTAAGAAGTTTCCTGCGAAATCTGTCTCACTTTAAAAGAAAACTTTTATTTCTCATTGGTACCAGTTATGGTGTGTTTTGCATTCATGAAAGGGTTCAGTTATGTTTGAAACATCAACAATGACAAAATAAAAGCCATTTTACAGCCAAACATTGAAACCAGAGATTCAAAAAAAATATCTGAGGACACTGAGTGCAGGGCATGTCCAAGCCAAAACTGTCAAGAGTTTCTAATCAAGATGGACCCCTTGTCTATGCTAAATGTATTTGTCATTCATAATTTGTCCCTATGAGTCGAGTAGATAATGTACAATTCCAGTATGTATTCTATCACTGCTACCGTCATGTAGTGATTTGCATGTTTTTGGCAGGGAAATCTTTGCTTTTTATCATTTTTATACATTTAACATTTTTATTGTTAAAAATATTGCAATATGGGTTTTTACTTGTTTTATCCTGCAAATGCAGTTTACAGCAGGTATAAAAGGTAATTTATCTGTAAAT